GGCTTTTGGGATTATCTCAGCCCAAGACGAGTTTCAGCGAAAGATCGACGAGGTGTACGAAGGCCTCGACGGAGTCGTGGCAATTGTGGACGACATCCTTGTCTATGGTCGAACCAAAGAGGAACACGACAGAAACCTCAGCGCGATGCTGCAAAGGTCCCGCGAGAGAGGAGTCCGGCTCAACCCCGAGAAGAGCACAGTCGGCGCTACAGAGGTCAGCTACTTTGGACATCTTCTCACAGCGAATGGAATCAAGCCAGATCCGCAGAAGATCTCAGCCATAAAGGAAATGGAGCCACCAAAGAACCGTGCAGAGCTGGAAACAGTGCTTGGCATGGTCAACTACTTAGCCAAGTTCGCACCCAGCCTCTCCAATGCTAATGCACCCCTGCGTCAGCTGCTAAAGCAGTCCAGTGAGTTCCTCTGGGACAAGCAACACGACATCGCTTTCCAGAAAGTGAAAGACTTGATCACGAGAGAACCAGGACCAATCCTTGCCTACTACAACCCCAACAAAGAGCTCAGACTCCAGGTGGACACGTCGAAGTATGGACTAGGGGCAGTGCTACTGCAAGAAGGAAAACCCATCGGCTACGCTTCCAAATCTCTCACAGACTGTGAAATCAACTACGCTCAAATTGAAAAGGAGCTGTACGCCATTCTGTTCGGATGTAAGCGTTTCCATCAGTATGTCTATGGACGACAAGTCATTGTGGAATCAGACTACAAGCCCCTCAAGTCAATCATGAGGAAACCGTTAGCCGCAGCCCCGCCAAGGCTACAGAGAATGATCCTTCAACTAGAAAAATACGACTTCACAATCACTCACCGTCCAGGCAAAGACATCCCTGTCGCAGACACACTCTCCAGGAAGTTTCTTACCTACAAGGACAGCAGCCTCAGTGAAGGCATGGACATGCAGGTGCACACTGTGTACAGCAACTTACCAGTTAGTGACACAAAACTGAAGGAGATCCGAGCAGAAACAGAAAAAGACACAACTCACACAGCTGAGGAAAGTCATACAGTCAGGATGGCCTGAGCGCGTCTGTTCTGGAACCATCGTGACGAACTATCACAGATCAACAGAATAATTTTCAAAGGAGAGAAAATCATCATTCCTACCAGTCTCAGAGAAGAGATTTTGACAAAGATCCATGCTGGACATGGGCATGGAAAAGTGCAAACAGAGAGCACGGGACATTTTGTTTTGGCCCGGAATGTGCAAACAAATGGAGGACATGGTTGGTAAATGCCTCAAACACCAAAGAGCCAATGTTACCTCAACGTATCCCAGACCGACCCTGGCAGGTCGTGGCAACCGATCTGTTCACCTGGAACAACGAGGACTACATTATAACAGTGGACTACTACAGCAGATACTTCGAACTCGACAAGCTTCACAGCACCACATCTGCAGCTGTGATATACAAGCTGAAAGCAGCCTTTGCCAGACATGGCATTCTAGAGTTTTTAATATCTGACAATGGGCCCTGTTACAAATCAAATGAGTTTGAATCCCTCCACAAAAGCATGGGAGTTAACACACGTCACCACAAGCCCACATTACCCTAAAAGTAATGGCCTTGCTGAAAAATCTGTGCAGATTGCTAAATCACTCATGGACAAAGCAAAAGCAGACAAGAGAGACCCCTACCTCAGTCTCATTGAATACCGCAACACTCCAGTTGACAACTTCAAATCACCAGCCCAGCTGTTGATGAGCCGCAGACTTCGCTCAATCCTTCCCAGCACCAACCAGCAGCTGCAACCTGAGGTCGTCAGCTACAAGGAAATGCATGCAAAACGTGCACAGAGACAACAACAGCAAAAGCGATACTACGACAGGTCAGCCAGAACACTGCCACCACTGAACGACGGAGAGTCAGTTAGAATCCAGGAGCATGGCTACTGGAAGCCAGCAGTCGTCATCCAACCAGCTGACACTAAACGTTCATATCACGTTCGCACCGCAGAAGGAGCGGTGTACCGCCGCAATCGTCGTCACCTACTGAACACAAAAGAACAACACACTGACGAGATGAACTGTTCCCCTGAAAGAGAACGGGATGGACTAAACACAGACCCAACACAACATACACCATACTTACCTGCAACACCACAAGAACTGTTGACTGACACAGAAGCATGCTCAGCTTCATATCACACAAGGTCAGGAAGAGAGGTCAAGCCTAGACCTGTCCTAGACCTGTGAAATGTCAAAGGGTGTAGGCGGATCGCTGCCCTAAAAGAGTTCCGGACTGTAAACTTGTTATTGAAAGTTAACTTGAAATGCTTTGGTATTGTATTTGTTTGAAATGTTGAGATGTCATTGCTACAGTGAAAAGCTGAGTTGCTGAGAAATATTTGTTCTAAAAGTAACAATATGCTGAATCATTGTTTCAGTCTGTTATGTTGATGCAGTTGGTGCAGTTTAAATGGTTACTTACCTCGAGTTCAAACTACAGAGCATGTATTCAAAAGAAACGCTTTATTGTTCTACATATTATTATTTTTTTTTTAAAGAAGGGGGATGTAATATTCACATGTCAGTATACTGAATTGTAATTGGATGCATTCTACAGTCATATCATACTGTGCTATGATTGGTTAAGACCACCCAGGTGGTGAGGTCATTCTAAAGATGATCATGGCCAGAGACACATAAACATGCCAGTTATAGCTAGTTAATAAAGAGCTACGTTTATAAAGATCCTGTCATCCTGCATTTTATTATTTTGTACAAAGCATACAAAACAAGACAGCTACCATGGCAAGATCATTGAGGGTCTGGCGAGTTTGAGAAAGATAATGCATTTGCTCTTTTCGGTCACTGCATTTAGCATACACAACTGGGTAAAGAACAATTCTACAAAGAAGATGTACCACAAAGTACACGTTAAGAGTTGCCAACCGTTTTTACTTTAGCATTGCATTTCGCCATCTATTCCAGCAGGTAGAACGTAACACGTCACCTTTTTAGATGGTTAGCCCAATTGTCGTGAATTCTATTTTGTAGCCATGTTCTAATATGGTTTTGAACATAACTGTTATATATTTTTATGAATATATCACATGATTTCATATTATTGTTTTGTTTATGTAATTTTTGTTTATTTACTTAAATGAACTGTACAATGCAATTCAGAGCTTACCTGCCAATGTTGTACACCATGACAATAAACCAAACCTTACTATAAATACAATTCATACCAACTGGATATTCTATTGGCTATAGGCCCAAAAAATAAAAATTGTCTAACGCTGCATTATAATCTACAATACTCGCTATCCACAAATAATTTAGGCTGTCATATTTCAGTAAGAGTGTGATGTGATTCAGACAACCACATGAACAAAGAAATGTTCTGATCTGCTTGAAGTGATGTCAACAGGCCAGCAGGGGGCATTCTTCCACCTTAGGTGCTGTTGTGAGGACAACAGTTTTAGAGAGGATGGATGCTCAAAATTCATATATGGGTATGGATGCTTAGAATTCCTAAATTGCTGTATTAATCGCTTGAATGCCATTCTCAACTATGTGCTTTAAAATATAAGTTGAATACATTTGGAGACTAAATAAAATAAAATAAAATAAGATTTGTCACACAGTTTACATCACATACAGAATGTGCAGTAAAATGCTTGCGTGCTAGGCTAGCGCCCTCAATATTATTATAATTACATGCTTATTGCCTGTATAAGCAATATGTAATGATGAACTCGTCTGTTGGCTACATCATCTCTCCTAAGTCTCCTGGTTAAAAGTACAATACTGTCTGCTTTTGGTCAAATATGGCAGATACACACCTGGTTTCAGTTCTGTTTGCTTTCAGGGCAGTACACATAACCCAATACAATGTGATTGGGCAGGATTTTCTGAAACCTCTTCCCCCATCCACTTTTCTGTGGACTCATTGTAATTAAGGATTTACACTTTTGCTCTGACATTAGCAGGATGTTTTTACACAATTAAGTGCATCCTCCATATTGCCTTCTAAAAAGGAAACTGTTCTGATAAGTGTGACTCATGTTGCAATGTCCTACATCTGTCTAATATGCATTATTCAAACCACTTATTATTCATACGTGTGATTAATAAAGCTCATCCTTCGTTCTTTAATTTTTCACCATATGGATTTAGATTTGGACGTCTTGGGTCGATGGGATTATAAATGGGTCCTCCAGAGCTGCCTGTCCTCCATTGCAGACGCAATCTCCACCTCCTCCAGTTCGGTGTTACTCCTTAGCTGTTCCACATATGTGTTCTCTGGCCTTCCCCTTCTGCTGGTACCGTGCTGTGGTTGCCAGATGATTAGTTCACCAAAGTTGTTGTTTTTAGTTTGGCTATGGAATACATTTCATTTCGCAGTATTTCATGCACCATAACTGTCCACCAGAGGGTAGGGTAGCACTACTTCACATTTGAGTGTGAATCCCACCAAAGCTCTAAATCAAAACCTCACCTTGGACCTTGGTTAAATAAAAAGTAGTGACACAACACAAACATTATGGAAAGTGGTAAAATATTTATTTCAAGAAAAGACATATAACATATAATAATATAATAATAATAATAATAATAATAATAATAATAATAATAATAATAATAATAATAATAATAATAAATAATACTATTAATAATAATAATACTATTGTGTTATATTTTTGGATATATTTATTTATTATTTCCCCCCTCACAGTAATCAACAAGCAAAATAGATAGGCTACAGGATACAGAATGAAATATAAGATAGAAAATGAAAAAACATGTTCTTATTAGTTAAAAATTAACAATGGTGACCCTGGCCGTGACCCCAGTCCCTGCGGGTGTCTCAGGAGTTGGGATATGCAAGAAAGACATTTCCATTACTCATTTCCATTACACCCACATGTGTGTAACAGGACAAATATAAGTATCCCCCAAATTATTAATATTATGCCTTTCCTTAACCTTAACCCAAACATCAAACTATACCTAAACTTAACCTTAACCTAACCCTCATTCCTAAACCTAACCTGAATCATCACCTCAATTAATTTTTACAACTATGACTGAATTAAGTTTTTCTTCTGCCGGTCGAATATCCACTTCCTAGTTTTATACATTGGGACGAACTTCAGCATAGTTTTTAATGACCCCTGAGAAGCGAATGACTTTGACCTCTTTGGTTTTGGCCTTGAAGTCCTGCCACAGGTACTCTGGAGACAACACCTTGCTGGGCTTGTTGTAGAGCAGGTACCTGTTGAGGTGGCTCTCCACCTGCCAGGCAGCCTCGATGGAATTCCCCGCATCCATCTCAAACCGGTTTCGACATACCTTTGTGAGTGTGTAAACATCCTCCACGAACCCTCCGATCATAGCCCCGCCATAGTAGTAGTCTCCCTCATCCATGGGGATGAAGGCCATCGAGGCTGGACGCCGTTCGTATGGGAAGTGGTCACGGGTCTGCTCGTAGTAGCCTGGGTGTAACACTGCAACCAGCCTTCCAAGAGACTCGGCCCCCCAGCGAGCGTGGAACTTGCTGTCCACGTCGAGACAGAAGATGTAGTCGGCCTCCCTGCTGATCTGACGTTCGATGGTGGTCTGGATGATTTCCATCCTCCGGGCTGATATCGCCTGCCAGCGGTTTGAACCCGGGACCTGGATCACACTCAAATGTCTCCCCTGAGTCAGGTTCACTGAAGGAACATCGTGTGGACGATCAGTGAAAACATAGTAGCGCACGTTGAAGTCGACCATGAAGTGCTTCTCTGCTGTCTCCAGAAAATCTTGGAGAAAGCTGACGTATCTGTCAGTATATAAAGACATACATATCATAAGGATTAGTGCCTTGCTCAAGGACACAACGGCAGTAGGTCACACCTGATAATTTGATGTCAGCAATCCTCTGTAACTGATGGGGTGGCAGGTAGCCTAGCGGTTAAGATTGTTGGGGCAGTAACCAAAAGGTCACTGGTTCGAATCCCTGAGCCAAGCTAAGGTGGAAACAGCTGCTGTTCTGCCCTTGAGCAAGGCAGTTAACCTCCAACAACAACTGCTCCCCGTGCGCCAATGATCTCGATTAAGGCAGCCCCCCCCCCCAAACCAATCTGATTCAGAGGGGTTGGGTTAAATGCGGAAGACACATTTTAGTTGAATGCTTTCAGTTGTGCAACTGACTAGGTATCCCCTTAACTGCATTATCATTCTCATAGGACATTATACCACTTTCTGACCAATATACAGTCTAGCAGATAATACATGAAGTAGTACAATTCTTCACGTGTTCCAAGGCATGAATCATGACAACGTCATCATATTGTATTACCTGCCATGTTACATCAGGTACTTATGTCCTTATAGTTGCAGTGTTGAAATTGTATTGATTGTTCAACTTCCCTTTTGAATATTTGGCAAAAGTTGTACTCACTTTCCAACGGCAAACACTGTGGTTGCTATGGTGAGGTTCATGGGCTTGTAGATGTTGTCGACGATCACAGGGTCAAAGGTGCCTTCCCAGACGATGGGTGCCAACCATGGGGTCACTGCCACCACATCAGTACGTCTAGAGAAATAGAACAGGGTCCTGCCTGACTGTGTTGTACTGACCAAAGCCATGTTATGATCTCAATATTTCACTATGGTCCTGGCAATTAAAGGACCTTGAAACAAGGTGTGGTATTTAGGCTACACCTCCTCACACTGACGTGTCAGACACTAATGTCAGATGTGACCTCGTAATATATCAAAGCTCCCCACGCTGATGTGTCAGAAACCTACAGTACGTCAGCTAATATTACTTTAACATGAGGTAAAAATGCTACTTACCCCACCAAGACACTGGGCTGCTTGTACAATAGCCTGGGAGAACAAAATGTAGTTAATTACTTAATTATAATGAAGAGCTGGGCTGATGTTGGTAGTATTAAATAGACTGACCTGTAATAGTTGTACTACTACAGAAAATATATACTGAACAAAAATATAAGCACAACATGAAACAATTTCAATGATTTTACTGAGTTACAGTTCATATAAGGAAATCAATCAATTGAAATAAATTCCTTAGGCCCTAATCTATGGATTTCACATGACTGGGCAGTGGCACAGCTATGGGGGGGCCTGGGAGGGCATAGGCCCACCCACTAGGGAGCCAGGAACAGCCAATCAGAATTAGTTTTTCCCCACAAAAGGTATTTATTACAGACAGAAATATTCCTCAGTTTCATCAATTGTCCGGGTAGCTGGTCTCAGACGATCCCGCAGGTGAAGAAGCCGGATGTGGACGTCCTGGGCTGGTATGGTTACACGTGGTCTTTGGTTGTGAGGCCGGTTGGACGTACTGCCAAATTCTCTAAAACGATGTGGGAGGTGGCTTATGGTACAGAAATGAACATTCAATTCTCTGGCAACAGCTCTGGTGGATATTTGAGCAGTCAGCATGCTAATTGCACACTCCCTCAAAGCTTGAGACACCTGTGGCATTGAGTTGTGTGACAAAACTGCACATTTTAGAGTGGCCTTTTATTGTCCCCAGCACAAGGTGCACCTGTGTAATGATCATGCTGTTTAATCAGCTTCTTGGTATGCCACACCTGTCAGGTGGATGGATTATCTTGGCGAAGGAGAAATGCTCACTAAAAGGGATGTAAACCAATTTGTGCACAACATTTGAGAGAAATAAGCTTTTTGTGTGTATGAAAAATGTGGGACCAACGCTTTACATGTTGATTTATATTTTTGTTCAGTATACATTAACAGAACTACTACCCCAACAACCATGCTATAAACTCAACACATAAAGTATCCCATCACCAATTCAAGCAGTAAATCAAACATGACATTTATGTAATTAATAATAATGTACATCAAAGGACCACTAATCTGATTGATTGCCAGTCCTTTATGGATTTTTTTTTGGTAGGATTGATTTGATTGATTTCATCAGTACAGCATGACACCATACTTCTATGGTTAATTATGGTAGAGTAAAATAAAGATACACACTTTTCAAGAGAGATCATGTTCCGTTCTCTGCTCCTGAACATGGGCTTACTCAGGCTGTATGAATAGAAAATCATAGTAAGAAGAAAACAAACAGAATTAAGATCATAGAAAACTAGAAAGGGTACTTTTTAAGTAAGAAAAATTGTGTGACTTGCTTCAAAGTATTGTTTTGTTAGTGGAAGGAGTTTAGAAGTTTAAATTTTTAGAGGTTAGTGTTGACAATTTGAGGCTAGTGTAGTAGTGACTGTATTATAAATAGTAGTGGGATAGTAGCTATTAGTGCAGGGGTTCCCAAACCTTTTTGGCCCACGACCCCATTTTGATATCTGAAAATTCTCTCGACCCCAACCATATGAAAATAATTATGAAATTATCAGCCTATTTTTATTTATTTATTTGGGGCTATTGAAAAACAATCTAACATTATTTCTGATTGTCTTCTCAACTCACAATCACATACTTTGAATGTGGGGCTATTACACTCAATCGCAAATTAGTCTGACATAAAGAAGACAGCAGGGTATTCCCTTTGAGTCAGGAACCAAAACTCCCCCGTAGTGACCCGTGAATGCGTTGTCTGCAGCATCCGGTCACATGACAGCTCGACCAGCTGTTTGATTTCACTTACCACCATGTCAACTGAGCCAGGATAACTGTCAAACAGATTGGGAAAGTAGGTCCCAAAGTGCCTTTTCCAAGAGTTGTCATCACTCGTGTGGGACACTTACTGATTCTGTTTTCTGTTAGAAACATGCACAGCCGATGGGAAGGGGGCATGGTTTGCTTTTGAAGGACTCTCTCTCTCCAATATGAATTTTTTCCTCTGAATCCACTGATTCGGTCACTCATCTGTAGAATGTTTTTGTATTGGAGTGTTTATCCGACAGGATAAAAAAAAAAAAAAAAAAAAATATGATTATGTCCCCCACACTTATAAAACCAAAGTTGCGCCCTTGAGTTTCCCAAATATATCTGTCACATAGGCAAGGAGAGACATTTTCTTTTTATTACACAGAAAGTCAACCAAGTCTGTTTATTTTTCATCCACTGTGAATGACAACAGTTCCTTTCTCAATGCAAAAAATCTTTCCAACACTCCCCCTCGATAACCACCAAGCCTCGGTGTGAAATAGAACATTGTCATGCTCTGATCCCATATCTCCACATAGTTTTGCGAACAGGCTTGCGCGCAGTGGATGTGGTTTGATGTAGTTTACATTCGAAGTTACCTTGTGGACACCCCTTCAAATTAGTGGATTTGGCTATTTCAGCCACACCTGTTGCTGACTTTTCCCTGCTAGAGCTGCCCTGGTCAACTGTAAGTGCTGTTATTGTGAAGTGGAAAAGTCTAGGAGCAACGACGGCACAGCTACGACGTGTTAGGCCACACAAGCTCACAGAACGGGACCGCCGAGTGCTGAAGAACGTAAAAATCGTCTGTCCTCAGTTGCAACACTCACTCTTCGGTTCCAAACTGCCTCTGGAAGCAACGTCAGCACAAGACCTGTTCCTCGGGAGCTTCATGAAATGGGTTTCCATGACCGAGCAGCCACACACAAGCCTAAGATCACCATGCGCAATGCCAAGCGACGGCTGGAGTGGTGTAAAGCTCAGCACCATTGGAAAACGCATTCTCTGGAGTGATGAATCACGCTTCACCATCTCGCAGTCCGACGGACAAATCTGGGTTTGGCGGTTGCCAGGAAAACGCTACCTGCCCAAATGCATAGTGCCAACTGTAATGTTTGGTGGAGGAGGAATAATGGTCTAGGGCGGATTTTCATGATTTGGGCTGGTTCCTTTAAATCCAGAGAAGGGAAATCTTAACGCTAGAGCATACAATGACATTCTAGACGATTCTGTGCTTCCAACTTTGTGGCAACAATTTTGGGAAGGCCTTGTATTGTTTCAGCATGACAATGCCACTGTGCACAAAGCGAGGTCCTTACAGACATGGTATGTCGAGATCGTTGAGTTAGAACTTGACTGGCCTGCACAGAGTCCTAACCTCAACCCCATCGAACACCATTGGGATGAATTGGAACGCTGACTGCGAGCCAGGCCTAACCGCCCAATATCAGTGCCGACCTCAGTAATGCTCTTGTGGCTGAACGGACGCAATGTTCCAACATCTAGTGGAAAGCCTTCCCAGAAGAGGGGAGTCTGTTATAGCAGCAAAGGGGGGACCAACTCCATATTAATGCCCATGATTTTGAAATGAGATGTTCGACGAGCAGGTGTTTAGTGAGTCTTCCAGATCAGAGGCAGTAGGGATGACCACGGATGTTCTCTTGATAAGTGCATGAATTGGACCATTTTCCTGTCCTGTTAAGCATAAAAAATGTAACTAATAGTTTTGGGTGTCAGGGAAAATGTTTGGAGTAAAAAGTACATTATTTTCTTTAGGAATGTAGTGAAGTTAAAGTAAAAGTTGTCAAAAATATAAATAGTAAAGTACAGATACCCAAAAAAACTAATTAAGTAGTACTTTAAAGTAATTTTACTTAAGTATTTTACACCAATGGATTTAATACGAGAAAAAGCCTATAATTTTACAATGGTTCTGTGTAGCCTAGTTATGCTAATATATTTGAGACCAGTGTATTGCAGTTAATTTCATCTTTGACTTCTTTGAATTTTGTCTTTGAGTTCGTTGACAAAACAGACCATGGAACGCCTTTTCACACAGAGATTTCTTTGATCTGTGGTGGGTCTGTTAAAACTATGCGATTATTTTGGAGGTTTATAGAAGTGAATGTTATCTATACATTTACTGTTATAGTATTTCTAAGTAGCAGCCAATGCAGCCCGCGCCTCAAATATAAAACAGCTGATTGTTGAGTTGTGGCTGTCAATGAACAGTAGGCAGCAGCTAGAAGGTATTTGGGCAATATTTCAAAATACAATTGCGGGAAAAATCTTTTTGAATAGGTGAGTGCCACTGGAAAGTTGATGGACTATAATTTCCTCCTTATTATTGTAGGCCTAAGATCTGTGTATCCACTATTTTCATTGGCCTATGCTATTGGTTGCATTTAAGACATGGGTCGTTCTTTCTATTGATCACAGCATGTAAATGTCAGAGTAGCTTGTCATTTTGATAATTTGTGTGATATAAATAAATATTATTTTAATGTCTCCAGTCATGTAACATTACGTAAAATTGCAAGAAATTATTTTATAAAAGGCCCTTTTTTCTTGGACCAACACACCCCTCAGCCCTTGGTCTTCAGGAATGAGCCCTGAATGTTATGAAACTCTGTGAACTCCCTGGCAGCCATATCAGCCATGGAAACTAATTGTTATCACTTTATGATAGAACATTCAGATTTTTCTGCCTGACTGTGGCGCTCTTTACCTGATTGTTAGGATTTTCTTGTGATCACTTATTTTGCTCAAAAAGATGGGCCTAGCTGAGAATAGAACATTCAGTTTTCTGCCTGAATGTGGCGCTGTTTACCGCAATTCTATGGACTATCTTGTGACAGAACAAAACTACAAAAATCCTAACATCCTAACTTTAAAAGTACCATCCTACCTTTAAAAGTACCAAGTACCATGACTTGTTGGGGAATTTCTCAGTTTATCTCAACTAACCTGGTGCTCTTCTGGTCCTCATCAATTGGGATATCTCTGTTGGAAACAATGAAACCATAAAATAACGTTCCCCTGAAATTCAAGCCTCAAACCAAACCCTGTTAATAAGAATCAGACAATATTGTGACTTGCATCTCACATTACAGCATCATTAGGCTGTAATAGATTAACAGAACTTGATCTTACCTGTTGAGCCTTTCAGAGAAGAAGTTGAAATAGACATAGCTTTGGGGAGGCAGGAGAGAATCAGTTAAAGTCTGTCATGAAAACATTTAGGGTACTTTTACACTAACAAAATGTGTTGCCGGCGCTGCCTTTCTTTGACATCAGATTTTCAACATTTATTTGAAACATAATTTATACCTTACGCAAGTACACTACGCAAGGACGCATTTTGCTTCGCAAAATGGCAATCCTGCGTAGTTGCGTGGAGTTACAAATTACGGGGCAGCACACATTTGCGTACCTTATTGTATTGTGTAGGTAGTAAATTAGGTAAATCGAGGTAAGTCATGGCCCAATGACTGTACCTGCTAGCAGCATGTGTCCCCCGTCTGAAGCAATATCCATAAATCGGTAGACGGCTCCAATTGGAGAATCGCTGTTTGCCTCGTCGAGCAGTGAAAAATAAACAATTGAATCCAGTTTTTATATTCTACATCCCCTCCGCAGATCAAAATGTAATCTGGTTTGCAATGTTTTGTTCTGACTTTTTGCGCACACATTTCCTCTACTTAACATCTGGGGCACCATGGTGCCCATATTGCGAGGCTGATTAGCTAGACAAACAGGTGTGTGAAACAAAGGCAGGGGTGTGCGCAAAGTGAGAACACCAACTGGAATTGATTTGGGTAGGGGGGTAGCATCTAAAACTGGATTTAACAGTTCTTGTTTGTTGCTCAGCAATGCAAATGACGATTCTCACCTTACAAAAAACCACATGATTTCACATGTGGAAAATTACATGATTTCACATGTGAAATGTCCACATGTTATACACATGTGAAATTGTATTTCACTTGTGAAATTTCACGTGATATCATGTTAAACTATGTGGCTTTGGTACACCACACATGATGATATTTCATATGTGATCACATAAACTTTCACATGTGGATTCACATTTTCACATGATGCCCTGCAAACAAAAAGTAATTAAGATGTCCCCTGAACGTCACGAAATAGCCACAATGTTTTCCACGTACATATTTGACAAACTTTGACATACATGATTACATTGTGTATGTTTATTTATACATTAATTATTATTCAACATGTCCTCATCTGGAATTTTAACTCACAACCTCTTGGTTCACAGCATTCATTCTATGCCACCGTGTCTGTGTCAATGACTGATTTAATCTAACTCTCACATGTGGAATTGCATTTTCACATGTGAAAAACGTTCAAATGTTGTCACATTTAGTTTCATGGTATCACATGTTGAAATTTTGCATCCCCCTGTTTCACATTTATGTGTCGTTTCATGTTATAACATGTTGCTTTTACATGTTGTCACATGTTATCACATTAACTTGATCACGTGAAATTAATGTGGTTTTTCCCATATGGATCCAATCGGAACCGTCTACCGATTATGGATGTAGCTTCGGATGTGGGACACATGCTGCTAGCAGGTACAGTCATTGGACCATGACTTACAGTGCATTCGGAAAGTATTCAGACCTGGACTTTTTCCACATTTTGTTACATTACAGCCTTATTCTAAAATTGATTTTTTCCCCTCATCAATCTACACAAAATAACACATAACGACAAAACAAAAACAGGTTAAAAATTTTTATATTACATTTACATACATATTCAGACCCTGTACTCAGTACTTTGTTGAAGCAGCTTTGGCAGCGATTACAGCCTCGACTCTTCTTGGGCGTGATGCTACAAGCTTGGCACACCTGTATTTGGGGAGTTTCTCCCATTCTTCTCTGCAGATCCTCTCAAGCTCTGTCATGTTGGACGGGGAGCATTGCTGCACAGCTATTTTCAGGTCTCTCCAGAGATGTTAGATCGGGTTCAAGCCCGGGCTCTGGCTGGTCCACTCAAGGACATTTAGAGACTTGTCTGAAGCCACTCCTGCGTTGTCTTGGTGAACCTTCGCCCCTGACTGAGGTCCTGAGCGCTCTGGAGCAGGTTTTCATCAAGGATCTCTCTGTACTTTGCTCTGTTCATCTTTCCCTCGATCCTGACTAGTCTCCTAGTCCCTGTCTCTGAAAAACATCCCCACAGCATGAGGCTGCAACCACCATGCTTCACCGTAGGGATGGTGCCAGTTTTCCTCTAGACGTGACACTTGGCATTCAGGCCAAAGAGTACAATCTTGGTTTCATCAGACCAGAGAACTTGTTTCTCATGGTCTGAGTTTCTTTAGGTGCCTGTTGGCAAACTCCAAGCGGGCTGTCGTGGCTTATACTGAGGAGTGGCTTCCATCCTTCTGGAAGGTTCTCCCATCTCCACAGAGGAACTCTAGAGCTCTGTCAGCGTGACCATCAGGTTCTTGGTCACCTCCCTAACCAGAGCCCTTCTCCCCTGATTGCTCAGTTTGGCCGGGCGGCCAACTCTAGGAAGAGTCTTGGTGGTTCCAAACTTCTTCCATTTAAGAATGATGGAGGCCACTGTGTTCTTGGTGACCGTCAATGCTGCAGAAATGTTTTGGTACCCTTCCCCAGGTCTGTGCCTCGACACAATCCTGTCTCTTAGCTCTTCGGACAATATCTTGGTATTAAAGTTAAAAAAGATCAGAAAGAAAGGGCCAACTTAAATGTATCTCCTATTTTAGAGAAAATTGGAAAGAGATTTAACTCCTGGTTATTAAGAGATCTTTCTTCATCTGGACATGTACTTTTGTCAAAATCTGAAGGTCTGTCCAGATTAGTTTATACCTCCCTTGCCTTGGATGTTCTCTGTCAGTAACTAAATTGTTGATACTAAATTATTTAACTTCATATGGAGGAATAAACCTCATTATTTAATAATAACGGTAATATTTAGCACCCAATATGAGGGAGGGTTGAATGCTCTGGATTTTAAAACCTCTAATATAATCTTTAAAATGGATACAAAACTATTTAAGAAATAAGGATTGCATTTGGAATATAAACCCTAATTGAATATTCCAACAGATTGGTGGTCTAGAGTTATTACTCAAATGCAACTTTGATGTGGGTAAAATTCCTATTAAGCTTGCTATAAACAAGTACTTATAACTTGGAACCTCATGTAGAAATATAACTTTTCCCAACAAAGATATACAATCTGGAATGATAAAGACATAAAATACAAAAACAATTCTTTGTTTTTCCAGAGCTGGTTTGACAACAGCATTATCTGGGTTAAGAAATTGTTGAATAATGATCGACAACTATATGATTATCCAGAATACATGAGAACACACAATGTTACATTCAGTCCTGAGGAGTATCAAATAGTTTTTAGAGCTGTCCCTAAAGGTGCTATTCTTCTTTTAGGAGAATATAACAATACTCCAAGTGCAACTGTTGAGGATTTTGTAGCCTCTATTCAGCTAGAAGGAATTGACATTTTAAACTATAAATGTAATAACATACAGTATATATATATATATATATATATATATATATATATAAGAAAACTGTCAAGATGTTACTATTCCCTCTGCTCGAATATACTGGAATGCAGCCATAGGACAAGTGAACTGGAACAAAGTCTCGTTGTTGTCTGGCAAATATTGTATATCTAATAAGATGAAACTCATTCATAGAATCTACCCTGTAAAGACCTTTATTGGACACAGATTCAAAATTGCTATTGATAACAAATGTGTATTTTGTGGTTGTGACCCAGAGACACATTGATTTTGGGACTGTTCTTATGTCAGAAGATTTTGGAGTGAGTTAGAAGATTTTATTTTAAAATAAACTACTATTAATGTTAATTTGAAAGACTGATATCATGTTTTATTTTGATCCAAATGATATGGACCCCGATTTAACTTTCATTGTTCATTTGTTTATTTTTCATGGAATATTCTTTATCTTTAAGTGGGCGGAGAACAAACCCCTCTTCACATTGTTTAAGATAGAATTGAAACATTATTTTGAAATTATCAGTAAGTGTAAAAACAAAAAAGCAATACGTATTGACAAATTGAAAATGTATCTCGACATGTAATACCCCTGTCTGTTAGGTTTATGTACTCTTGTTCGTTTATTTCTGTTTTTGTATAAAAAAATATATATAAAAAAAAAGGAATCACAGGACGCTATTTGAACTTCTCGAGAACAAAAATTGCTGCCATTGCAAAACTCGATTAGTCCCAGTAAGTAGCCTGACAGGATGCTCTCAATGGTGCGTTTGTAAAAGTTTGTGAGGGTCTTAGGGGCCAAGCCACATTTCTTCAGCCTCCTGAGGTTGTCTGTGTGGGTAGACCATTTCAGATTGTCTGTGATGTGTACACCGAGGAACTGGAAGCTTTTCACCTTCTCCGCTGCGGCCCTGTCGATGTGGATGGGAGCGTGCACCCTCTGCTGTCTCTTGAAGTCCACGATCAGCTCCTTCTTTTTGTTGACGTTGAGGGAGAGGTTATTTTCCTGGAACCATTCCTTCAGGGCCCTCATCTCCTCCCTGTAGGCTGTCTCTTCATTGTTGGTAATCAGGCATACTACTGTTGTGTCATCTGCAAACTTGATGATTGAGTTGGAGGCATACGTGGCCACGCAGTCATGGGTGAACAGGGAGTACAGGAGGGGGCTGAGCACGCACCGTTGTGGGGCCCATGTGTTGAGGAGCAGCCTAGTGGAGGTGTTGTTTCCTACCTTCACCACCTGGGGGCGGCCCGTCAGAAAGTCCAGGGCCCAGTTGCACAGGGTGGGTGCTTTGGGGGTACTATGGTGTTGAAGGCCGAGAGGGATACATAGGTAGTGTGCAGTGCGATGGCGATTGCATCATCTGTGGATCTTTTGGGGCGGTATGCAAATTGAAGTGACCCTAGGGTGTCAGGTAAGGTGGAGGTGATATGATCCTTAACTAGCCTCTCAAAGCACTTCATGATGACAGAAGTGAGTGCTACGGGGCGATAGTCATTTAGTTTAGTTACCTTTGCTTACTTGGGTACAGGAACAATGTTGGACATTTTAACATTAACATTTACGTCATTTAGCAGACGCTCTTATTTTGAGCGACTTACAAATTGGTGCATTCACCCTATAGCCAGTGGGATAACCACTTTACAATTTTTTTTTTTTGGGGGGGGGGGGGGGGGGGGGGTAGAAGGATTACTTTATCCTATCCCAGGTATTCCTTAAAGAGG